TATCTATCTATCTATCTATCTATCTATCTATCTATCTATCTATCTATGCCTGTGTGCGCGTATGTCACATTGCAAATTCTACTTCATTATTCCCTTTGAATGTACTCTACGGTTGTTTTTGACTTCAGAAATATTCTTCTACCGATAACAAACTAAGTTAAACTACAATCTTTATTCGGTCTGACATGAAAGTTTATTTATGCCAGCAGTTCGTGTGCATATGAAAGACACATTTTACACCGGGTGATCGCTTTCTGTGCAACAATGATCTGTGATTTACGGTCTGCCGCGGTCCGCAATAACCCCGTTTCCTGACCATGTCCATGAACTCCACACTTTCTCTCTACTGTTTATTTTCCTTCCAAGTCGGGATGTAAACAGTTTGTGGTTGCCGAATGGGAAAAAAAATTTGAATCAGAAGAGTGTAAATGTGAGGAGTGATTGAGGATTGGGTTGGCGCATTTCTCGTTAGATTTCTTTTAGGTGGGGCAACGAGCGTGGGGAGGGCTGAGGGAGAGGCTGCTTAACGTTTGAAGGGGTGAGTATTTTCTAAGCTGCAAAAAGTTTTGCAATTTTGGCAAGGTTATAAGAAATGCTAACCTTTTGCGATTAGACTTTTTAAAAAATTATGTATCATATCGAAAACCATGCTGGAAAAATGTCTGTTTTTCAAACTGATTCGATATATTAAATCATATAAATATTTAGAAAACGTTTTTCCATATGGGAACGAATGGAAAAAGAATTTTAACAAAAAAACAAAAAAACATATATAATCACAGTTGCAAATAAACAACTAAGAATCCGTGTAAGATATCTCTGATCTAATTTGTTCAGGTTTATATAGATCGGATAGAGATTTTAAACCGTAACCGTAAAAAGTGTTGTGGAGCTGGCATTTTTTGCAGCGCGCTTGGCATTGGCGGATGTGCGTACTTTTCTCTGCATCGTGATTGGCTGAGATTACAGTGGACGCCTTAATGTTTAATACTAATGTTCCCCTGGTTGGCTGAAGACTGGAAAGGTCCAACCAATGTTTTTTTTTACTTGCTTTAGTGGCTGTGGCTTCCTAATTAATTGCAGCTATCTGTCTCCTATCGATGTGTGTGTACGTGTGCGTTGTATGTGTTTTCTCTTTTCTACCAAAACGGAACATGAAATAGTTTGTTGAGCTACACTTTCTTTCCTCCTATCTGTCCCCCCTTCCTCCCTTTCCGTCCTGGCTTTCTGCTAGAGACTGGAAAGACTGAAACCCAGCTGTGTTCTTCGCTTTTTGTAGTTGCCATTTACCCCCCTCACTGCTCGGTGATGTTGGATATGGGAGAACGCAAAGAGCTGAAGATGATTCCTAAATCTTCGTTTAGTATAAACAGTTTGGTGCCCGAGGCTGTGCAAAACGACATCATCCACCAGAACCAGAATCCCCACCAGAACCACCACCGGTCCGATGGAGCGGATGATGAACAGAAAGCCCTTCTCCCGGCCTTCCAGCGCGAGGGCAAAACTGACCCGAAAAGTGACTCTCCGAGCCAGGATAGCTGTCCAGACGACAAGGTTAAGCAGGATGACAAAAGAGAAGGGAAAGATGGGGACAGTGGCGTCGGCGAGAAGGACGGAGACAAGAAAAGCGGCAAGTACGAAAAACCTCCCTTTAGTTATAACGCGTTGATAATGATGGCCATCAGACAGAGTCCAGAGAAGAGGCTTACTCTGAACGGGATTTATGAATTTATCATGAAAAATTTTCCCTACTACCGGGAGAACAAGCAAGGCTGGCAGAACTCCATTCGTCACAACCTCAGTCTGAATAAATGCTTTGTTAAGGTTCCACGGCACTATGACGACCCGGGCAAGGGTAACTACTGGATGCTGGATCCCAGCAGCGACGACGTTTTCATCGGCGGAACCACTGGAAAACTTCGCCGGCGGTCCACCACATCTCGGGCCAAGCTGGCCTTTAAACGTGGTGCCCGACTGACCTCGGGGCTTACCTTCATGGACAGGACCGGATCCTTGTACTGGCCTATGTCCCCCTTCCTCTCCCTGCACCATCCAAGGGCCGGCGGCGCCCTGGGCTACAACGGGACCTCCTCTGGATATCCGGGTCACCCAATATCCTACAGCACCATGCTCACCCAGAACATGAGCAACAATCATTCGTCCTTTCCGTCCTCTAACGGACTTAGCATGGATCGGCTGGTAGGCGGGGATCTCCCTTACGCGACGCATCACCTAACAGCAGCAGCCCTCGCGGCCTCGGCAGTTCCCTGTGGTCTTTCCGTGCCTTGCTCCGGGGCTACTTACTCACTAAACCCTTGCTCGGTGAACCTGTTGGCCGGACAGACAAGTTATTTTTTCCCCCACGTACCACACCCGTCCATGACTTCACAGACGGGTGCGGGTGGCGGCGGAACCTTGCAGGCTGCTCGGGCGTCAGCCTCCAATTCCCCGCAAGCTCCGTCCTCTTCCTCGCTGTCATGTGACGCTCTACGGCCGGCGTTGTCCGGTTCTTTGCCAGCTTTTTCTTCGGGACTTTCTGGGGGTTTGTCTGACTATTTTACACATCAGAACCAGGGATCAACTTCCAACCCGCTTATACACTAAGTTAACCAAACTTTCCTCTCCCCCCCCCCCCCCTAGCGCCATCCATTCATCCAATCATCCATCACTAAAGGAGTAAAAAAAATCTTAAAAGGATTGGAAATCAAAGCGAAACATTTTACAACGAACATTTACAATGTAAAAATTGCATATTATTATTGTTACAAGCTACTACCTATTAGGAAAATGAGAAGAGACTTAAACCGCAAAACTAAAAGATCACCACTGAGAATCTCACTGAGAGCAGCACTGACATTTCCAGGTATTTTTACTATCGTTTTTCTTTTTCTGATACATCTCCTCCTGCATTTTTTATTTTGGTGTAATGATGTCTTTTACTATAAATGTCCAGGATTTTTATATGTATACTACTGTCAGTAAATTACGTACAGTGTGATCTGAGACAAGGCAATGAGAAAACTATAAGAGCTGAATGTTAGAGATTTTTTTAACATACAATAATGTGCATTTAAAATAGTGCTTTCTAATTTTGAGATTTCGAAAAGTTAATAATAATGACAATAAGATCACTAATGATAATACTACTAATGATAATACCTATTAATACTATAACCGCATATGTACAGTATTATGCAGAAAACGGAAAAAGCGTCTGATAAAACATTATTATTATTATTATTATTATTATTATTATTATTATTATTATTATTAACTTTCTATCAAGTGAAATGTCTTTAATGTGCTTTTAAACATGGAGAAAAGCGAGTCTGTACCGTAAATTAATTAATTTCATGTTTTAAACACTGCTCATGCGCTATTTATAGACCAAAGAATCGGTTTAAAGTTAGTCAGTATTATGGTGTATAGTATGACAGGCGTTATTTAGTAGGAATAAAGGAACGAAAGAGTGACTGACTGTGCAAATGGGGGTATAGGGTAGTGAGTGATACCTCCCTCAATAGAGAAAATGTCCATTTAAACAACATTCGATTTCTCTCACTCTTTTAACCTTTATTCTGCGGAAACTTGAATGATGTTACTAACTTGAGCGAAATGGTTTGTACTTGTTACGGAGAGTAGGCGGACATTTTCTGCAGTAAAAAAAACCTAATATGTGAAGGGTGATAAAAAGAAAAGAAAACAAACAAAAAAGAAAGAGAAAGACAGAAACGAATGCCTACGTTTCTATTTTTTGTATAAGGTGTAAAAAGAAAAAAATGTCTGTCGCTTGATTTCGTTTGTTTGTTTCATTACTTTTTTCCAGAGAAACGCAGGAGAAATGTAAATCCAATTTGTTTGACAAAAGAAATCATGCCTCGCTATTTAATAGGCTTTTACTTGGAATGACTGTCTTAATTGTCTTTAAAACTATTTTTTATGGTTGTGATACTATTGTGGTCTTTCTTCTTATTACCGTGTTTGTCGCTCACAAAACTTAAAAATGAAGAAAAAAAGTGCTTAATAAAAAAAAACACAAATAAAATAATAGGTTACCTTCAGAACTATCTCAACTTCTTTTGTCTTTTCTTCTGCCATATAATTATCATGGATAGATAGATAGATAGATAGATAGATAGATAGATAGATAGATAGAT